ATTGACTTGCCTCTGCTATCCAAAGGTTTACATGGCAATTCAGATTGTTAGACTGTACTTCAAAAGATAACCAAAGGCGTATTTAATTTAGAATCATCTACACCCCCATCCCTTCTTGAGTTAATAAATCTGTAGCCATTTAGCACGTTTCCCTGGCATGGGTTCCTGCAAGAGCCGGTATTAGTTTTCTATTGCTGTTGTAACAGATTACCACAGACTTAGTGGCTTAAAACAACAGAGATTTATTCTCTTACAATTATAGAGTCCAGAAGCCTAAAATCAGGGTGCCATCAGGCTGTATTGCTTCTGGGGGCTTTGGGGAGGATTTCCTTCCCTTCCTGCATCCCTTGGCTCATGTCCCCTTCTTTGCATCACTCTAACCTCCTACTGACTTCCACCTTTTTGCCTTCCTCTTATAAGGACCCTTGTGATGACACTGGGCCCACTTGGATAAGCCAGGATCCTCTCCCCATCTCAGGATCCTTAAAGTAATCCCATCTGCAGAGGTCCTTTTGCGTTGTAAGGTAATGTATTTACAGGTTCTGGGGATTTAGGATGTGGGCATTTTGCAGGGGGGCATTGTTCAGTCTCCTACACACAGCCACTTTCATGGCGCCCAGAATCCGACCTTCTGATAGGGTTCTCCGCCTGTGCACCGAGTTCACCGAAGCACAGAAAGCCAGGCTCTGCTGTCTGTGTCCCTCCCCAGCGGCCGTGCTGCTCCTCCTGACCCCTGTGTCGTGGGAGAAGAGGTGTGTCTCTCAGGGCCACCCACTCCATCTAGTGTGTGAGGTCTGTGAACACAGGGAAACTTAGGCTGCACCCCCACATCACCTGGGCTAATGCCAGCGGATACTTTCCAGTCGTCTAACTTGGCCTCTCAGAAATCTGCACGCTGGAGTGCTCCCTCCCAAGTGAAACTCTTTGCCCTGAGCTTTCTTGTCACCCTTCATGGCCCTTCCCCCACCCTGCCCTGGGTCACCATGCAGTCAGTGTTATCAATGACAGGCGAATACAGAGATTGCTGGCACGTACCCCCTCACTTGTCACAGCCATCTAAGGTGTTTGTGGGCTCCCTGGGGTCTCTGTGGAGGTCCCTCTAGGTAGACACCTTATATTGCTCAGACTGTCTTGAGTCTCATTTTCTTATGAGATCACACATACTTCTAATCCTCTGGCCCAGCACCAAAACCTTAAGATGGCATCTTCTTGAAAGCAACTCTGGGCCTTCCTCTGTAGAAGGAGAATATGGAAAGATTCAACCAAGAAATGTGTTTCCCCTTGGGGTGATGTGTTTATTCCTGACCTTGGTTTTTAAGACACTGTTCTTGTTTTTACTTTTTATTGTAGTTTGGGGGAGTGTTTACAGAGCAAGTTAGTTTTCCATTCAACCATTTACATACATTTTGTTCCGTAGCATGTATTGCAGTCCCCTCAGTGTAACGGCCTTCTTCCCACTTCCTCTCTGGGTTCCCTATTTCCATCCATCCTTCTTGCCCTGCCCCTTTCTGCCCTCTGAGCTTTGTTTTTGAGCAAATGGTGCCCGCTGGTCTCGTATGGGTGATCATACTGAGGAGTGCATTCCTCCCTGGTGTAACTCATTTTATAGGCCTGTCTGTTGTTTGGCAAAAAGATGATCCCTGGTGATGGACACAGTTCCAGGCTTGAAGAGTGCAGCAGTCAAATGTTCCACCAGTTTCTGTTAGACCAGTCAGTCTGGGCTTTGTTATGATTCTGAGTTTTGTTCTACATTTTGTTCTTCCTGTCTGTCCAGGACCTTCTGTTGTGATCCTAAACAGAGCAGTCAGCATTGGTAGCTGGGCACCATCTAGTTCTTCTGGTCTGAGTACTGGAGGCTGGGCTTTGTGTGGCTCATTAGTCCTTTGGACTGATTGTTCAGGGCATCATTATTGACCTTTGGAGGAAAGGTGAAATAGGCCACTGTAATTTTAGTAGCCGTGGGAGGGAAGAAGGCAAATCTAGTGAGGAAAAGGCCAATGTATAACATTTCTTCTCATTCATGAATCACTTAGAGTTTTTCTTAAAAATGCAGATTTCTTGACCACAGCTTTATTGAATTTGAGTATTTAGAGCCTAGGAACATTTTGCCCTTGGAATCCAACTCTTCAGTGTATGGAAGTTTCAGAATGGAGAACTCCCAGAGAGGATTCTTTGCCGAACAGGCACTTTGAACCTCTTTGCGTCTTCCCAACACTCAGCCCCCAGTGTAATAAGCCACGAACCAAGCTTGTGCCATTTTCCTTGAAGTGGAAGGGAAAGGAACTCTCTTCAGAGGGTGGAGAGACTCAAATCTGGACCTACCTGCTTTCCCTCTCTCAGCTCTAGACCAGCCTGCCACAGCCTGGTGGTCTGTCAGCATCTTTAAGTCACTTCCTCCAAACGGGGCTCGTTCCCTTTCCCTATGGATCTGCTCCTTGCTTTGCAGCCCTTATGTCTATGAGGGCCATCACCATCTTCACCATCCGCCAAGTGGCTCAAGTTAGAAACCTAGAGGCTGAGGATAGGGACCAGGTTGATGAGGGAACACAGTACCAGTGTAATCAGATTCCACTAACGTTTGAGTAGTTTACAGATACAGTTTAAAGGTCATACAGATAACAAATAACAGAGCTATAGATTTGGACTCAGTCCTTCTGATTTAAGTTCCTTGCTCTTTCTTCCATTCTGTGCTATCTTCCCATAAGGGATGGAAGAAGAGTAGTCTCCCAGGTCCATGAGCACAATCCTTGAGGAGTGGAAGAGCTGTCTCATGGAAGCACCAGCTTGCCCTGTAAAGGTTCAAGAGTAAACCCAAGGCCAATTCGTGGCTTCTTCAGAGAAGTACAGATGTCAAGCCAAAGTGAGGAAAAGTTTGTTACAGCTGGTCTAGTGTGGTGAGCAGGAGCTCTGGTAGCGTAGTGTCTAAGGCATTTTGATGGTTAACCAGAAGGCTGGTGGTTCAAACCCACCAGCCACTCCTCGGAAGGAAGGTTAGGCAATTACTTTCATAGTGATACCATCTGGGAAACCCAAGGAGGGGTCGCTATGAGTCGGAGATGACTCAACAGCACATAACAACAACAACAAATGTGGTGAGCTGTCCATGATAGATTACTGGGTGGAATGTTCTAGGGACGATTCGAGTGTCTGATCCTCAACTTCTGTGATTTTGTGATACCACCAGTGGAGTTCCTAGGTCACAGTATTTGTAATTATAACCCTCATGAAGTTATCCATGTAATCCAGTTTCATAATGCCATGTTCCAAGAAACAGTTCAGCAAACAAAAATTCCAAAATGAGTTTTCAGTAATATTCTACATGGTCCACAGTGATATTTCTTAACTGGATCCTTAATGCCTCAGTCACTTCTGCTTAATTTTCCCACAAAACTCCCTTAGCCCAGGTATTCCTCTTCCTATTTTTCTCTTAATTATTCACCATGATATCACTAATCTGTCTTCCTTGGTGGGCGGGGGTGGGAAGCAGTTTGGGATGGAGATTCCCATGAGAACCTAATGAGTTTGTGCCTTTTGGGTGACAGGCCATCTTTCTTTGCTTGGGTGGAGGTAAAGGACTCATCCTTCCCTCTCCCTTGCTATCCACATCTAAGTGCAATAGTCAAGGCAAGAGTGGTCATGGATGTCCAAAAGAGAAGGCCTCATATGCTGGGCGTAAGAGCTCAAATTCAATTGAGGACAGTTGAGAACTGGTTAGAATAGATCTGCCCTCTAAACTTCTAGAGAACCTGTCCCTTCCTCTCTTCCACCTTGTCACAGCCCTACCTCAGGCCACCTTCAAGTCTTAAAAGGACTTGTTCATTGGCTCTCAGCTTCTAGTCTTGTCCCTCTCATTCGTTCTCTACATTGCAGCCAAAGGCTTTAAAAAATATTTTTTAGAAGGCAAATCTGACCACTCCCCTGCTTCAAGTCTTCATAGGTTCCCCAACTGTTCTCAACGTAGTCCAGGCTCTTCCTTGTAGCATTTGAGACCTTCCCCCATGGGCTCCTGTGACCTCTCTAGCCTCAGCCATCGCACTACATTTCTAAACACCTCAACTCCCGGAAGTCCCCGCCACTTCCCTCCTCCTTCCTTTTGCGCCTTTGCTCAGGCTGTGTTCTCTGCTTGGGATCTTTCCCTTCTTTTAGCTACTTAACAGATACCCACTATCTTTCAGTATTAAGTCCTCCTAGAGTCTCTCCTCTCTAGAGAATCTCCTGACTGTGCCCCAAATAAGTATTCCCTTCTTTATACACCAAGTAGACTGCCACCTTCAAACCTGACTGCATCCCTTCTCTCTTCTGCCCTCCTCGACTGGTCACTGCTTGTGATCAGGGCCACTGTTACTACCACCAGCTGGCAGCACTGGACTGCACCCACTTCCAGCTTAGTGAGTGCTGGACGAAGGGTTGAGATCACTGTTGAGGCCCTCAAGCACTTTAAGGAGGCCTAGAACATTGGAGTTGGACAGATTTTGGGTTAAAATTCCAGTGAAAACACACCTCAACTGTTTGCTCTTAGGCAAAAACCAAACCAAACCAAACTTACTGCCATTGAGTTGATCCCGACTCATAGTGACCAGGCAAGTCATTTGAATTCTGAACCCCCCATCCTCAGCTCTGCTTACCTCCCAGAATTCTGTGAAATTATATGTGAGGGGCCTGGTACAATGCCTGGCTTACTAACGGAACTTGAAAAATATTTATTCCCCTCTCAGTCAAGAAGCACAGGAGGAAAAGGTGTTCCGTGAACCAAGGCTTAGGAGTGGGGATGGATGGGGAGGTAGCAGAAAACTCTGAGACCACAGCGTGCTTGGATTTCTGAAAGTACTGGCCACTGCTCAGTCCTGTAACAAACCCCAGTTGGAGTGTGGGGGGGGGAGCAGACCAAAGGCCACCAAGGCCGAGCCCTTCCCCCAGCTGCCTGAATGGACCAGCCCCAGTGACATCACAATCTTGGGTGGTTGCCAAGGCACTGCTGGAGGTAAGCCTTATCATTTATCCCCACTGAGCTCAGGGATGTGGATGTGAGGTGGGCAAGGAAGGCAGATGGCGACAAGGAACAGCCTTAATCCCATGCCTACAGGTGCGGCTCAGGGTGACCCTGGAGAGGCAGGAGCACTGCCCGGCTCTGATGCTGGCATCCGGGACACAGATTCAGCCACCCAGCTGAAGGTGAAGCCCAAGAAGGTGCGTAAGATCAAGGCACTCATCATCGACCTGGGCTCCCAGTACTGTAAGTGTGGCTATGGGGGCGAGCCGAGACCCACCTACTTTATCTCCTCCACTGTGGGCAAGCGCTGCCCTGAGGCAGCCCACGCTGGTGACACCAGCAAGGAGACCTACGTAGGCCATGAGCTGCTCAACCCAGAGGTGCCACTCAAACTGGTTAACCCACTCAAGCATGGCGTCGTGGTGGACTGGGACTGTGTCCAGAACATCTGGGAGTACATCTTCCACACAGCCATGAAGATCCTTCCCGAGGAGCATGCTGTGCTGGTCTCCGACCCTCCGTTCAGCCCCTTCAGCAACCGAGAGAAGTATGCGGAACTCATGTTCGAGACCTTCAGCATCCCTGCCATGCATGTGACGTCCCAGTCGCTGCTGTCCATCTACTCCTACGGGAAGACCTCGGGGCTGGTGGTGGAGAGCGGACACGGTGTCTCTCACGTTGTGCCCATCTCGGAAGGCAGCGTTGTGCCTGGCCTGACGATGCGCACTGACTATGCAGGGAGCGACCTCACCAACTACCTGATGCAGCTGCTCAACGAGGCGGGCCACAAGTTCACGGATGACCACCTGCACATCATCGAGCACATCAAGAAGAAGTGCTGCTATGCGGCCCTCATTCCGGATGAGGAGGTCAGCCTGCCCCTGGAGGAACTGCGTGTGGACTACGAACTCCCCGACGGCAAGCTCATCACCATTGGCCAGGAGCGCTTCCGGTGCTCTGAGATGCTCTTCGATCCCACCCTGGTGGGCTGCAGCCAGCAGGGCCTCCCTGCACTCACGGCTGCCTGCCTGAGTCACTGCCAGGAGGCAGGGTTGAAGGAGGAGATGGCTGCCAACGTCCTGCTGTGTGGGGGCTGCACCATGCTAGATGGTTTCCCTAAGCGCTTCCAGAGGGAGCTTTGTCTCCTCTGTCCTGGTGACAGCCCCATTGTGGCTGCTGCTCCTGAGAGGAAGACCTCCGTGTGGACTGGTGGCTCTATCCTGGCCTCCCTCCAGGCCTTCCAGCAGCTCTGGGTCAGCAAGGAAGAGTTCCAGGAGCGAGGCAGTGTCGCCATTTACAACAAGTGCTGAGCATCAGCGCCCTGACCAGGAAAGCCTCCTGGGCAGGCGGCCACAGGCCACTGCATACACATTTACAAATTTTAACATAAAACTTTAACTTGCATTGTCTCATGTCTAGTCTGCATTTCTTGCTCTGCTTTGACAGCTTAGGGCAGGGGGCAATTGGACTTAGAAATACCCACAGTTCACTGGGGTAGGAGAGAGGGGTGCGCTGACCATGCCTACTTTATGGTACCTCTGGTGGTGACCCCATCTCAGAGCCCAGACTACTGTTTCATTACCTCTTCAGGGCTCAAAACCAGATTTAAATTCCACATTGCTTGGTTACTCATTGGACAAGGAAGAAACGAAGGCTCACAGATGAAGGGACTAGCCTGGATCTTATGGTTATGTGGTGCTTCAGAGACGCACAGGCAGGTGTCTGACTTCAGTCTCTTGTATCTGCTCCTGCTACAACTTTGTGGTTGCACATGCTCCCTCACTCCCCCGCCCCCCATCTTTCTCCTTTCTCTGTGGCAGTCCACAGATGTGACAGTGCTTCTCCTAAGAGGGAGGGACCGTTTCTACCCATCAGTGCCTCCCACTGCATCAACTTGGTCAAAATTGCAGCTGTTTCCAGGAGTCACAAGGCAGGATCACTGAGCCCAGAGGATGGCAGAGGAGCCACCTGGTCCTTTAGTGGTCCACCCCCTCCTGTGGTGATGGTGAAATAGAACCAGAAATGGAGGTGGTCATCCCAACATTGGTGATTGATCCCAGCTCTCCTGTCCCAGGTCATGATTATTTCCAGAAAGGCAAACCTGGTTTTTGAGGGCTAGTCAGCAACCCTAAGGACTTACCAGGCATCTACTATGGGCCAGGTCCAGTACTGGAGACTGGACTGAGAAAATCATAGGGATTAGTGCTAGGCATAGGGGTGAAGGAGAGTCTGTTGAGGTTTTCTGCTGGTGAGCATTTGTTTACCTAAAAGAGGATGGTTCTTGCCCCTTTTTTCTACCCCTACTTCCTGATGGTCCCATGACCAGATAGATGCCCATCCATCTCTGGAATCAGACTTTGGTGAACTGTGTAGTCCTGGGTGGATTACCAAATGAACCCATGCCATCGCCTATCTGAACGGAGTCCAGATTTGGGGCTCTTTATCGGCCTACCTCTCTCCTGGGCCTTGTGTTTGGGCTGCAGACTTAGCAAAGAACCAGACAGTCTCTGTCCCCTAATGTCTTGCCATCTAGTTGTTTTCCATTGTTTAGAATTGAGCTTCTAGTCTAGAGTTTGAGAACCCCTCAGGCTTGTAGGGGCTTGGTGCCACACAGAGAACTTGGGCATTTTCCTGTAGAGAGGGGTTGCAGGCTAGGGGCCCCATAGGCTGAAGGTGACCAGTAGACAAGTTTTGTTTGGCCAGCACAGTGTATAAACTTTTTTCCTGAATGCAAATTCTTCCTACTTTTTTCAGGTTGTCAAAGTCCTTACCACTCTGGTATCATCTTCCATATCTGTCACTTCAATATAACTTTTAATTAATTGGCCAGCATTCGTTTCTGTTGCTTGCAACCCAAGAACTGTGACTGATACTGATCCTAAACACCCAATGAGCTAGGAAAACAGGTTTATAGAGGGGAAAGTGATATGCTCATCATCATAGGAAGTAGGTGCTGGTATGTGAACCCTCTTCCACATGCCGGTCTTGAAGCTCTTTGAACACCATACCTATGTCTATCCCTCACCCCTCCCAATCTCCTCCTCCTTACTCCCCACCTCCTCAATACTGTTTCCTGTCTCCAGGATCACAACTTCAGTCCCCTCATTGCCTGGTCACTCCTCTGAAAGCATCCCTTGTGTGGTAGGGACTGTTGTTGTTAGCTGTCGAGTTGGTTCTGACTCATAGTGACCCGGTGCACAACAGAACAAAACACTGCCCAGTCCTGCACCATCCTCACAGTCATTGCCAAGCTTGAGCCTATCGCTGGAGCCACTGTGTCAGTCCATCTTGTTGAGCGTCTTCCCCTTTTGCACTGACCCTCTACCAAGCATGATGTCCTTCTCCAGGGAATGGTCCCTTCTGAAAACACATCCGAAGTACAAGACACAAAGTCTGGGCATTCTTGCTTCTGAGAAACATTAGGCTGTACTTCCTCTGAGACTGATTCATTTGTTTTGCAGTCCATGATGTCTTCTACATTCTTTGCCAACACCACAATTTCAAATGCATCAGTTCTTTCGTGGTCTTCTTTATTCATTGTCCAACTCTCACATGCATATAAAACTATTGAAAATCCTATGGCTTAGGTAGTACACCTTACTCTTCAAAGTGGCATCTTTGCTTTGGAACAGTTTAAAGAGGTCTTTTGCAGCAGATTTGCCCAATGCAGTACATCAGTTGATCTTGATTACTGCTTTCATGGGCATTAATGATTGTGGATCCAAGTCAAGTGAAATCTTTGACAACTTCAATCTTTTCTCCATTTATCATGATATTTCTTATTGGTCCAGTTGTGAAGACTTTAGTTTGCTTTATGTTGAGGTGTAATTCACACTGAAAGCTATAGTCTTTGATCTTTACCAATAAGTGCTTCAAGTCTTCTTCACTTTCAGCAAGCAAAATTGTCTTATCTGATATGTGTCATATCACAGGTTGTTTATGAGTTTTCCTCAATTCCTGATGCCATGCTCTTCTTCATATAGTCCAGCTTCTCAGATTATTTGCTCAGCATACAGATTGAATAAATGTGGTGAAAAGATGCAACCCTGATGCACATCTTTCCTGATTTTAGACCAGGTAGTATCCCCTTGTTCTGTTAGAAAGACTCCTTCTTGGTCTGTGTACAGGTTCCTCATGAGCACAATTAAGTGTTGTGGAATTCCCATTCTTAATGTTATGCATGATTTGTTAGGATCCACATAGTTTAAGGCCTTTGCATAGTCAAAGGGGATGTAGAAAGACTTAATAAATTACTTAGCCCTCGACATGAGTTCATTTAAGTCAACCACAGGCATAACAGAAGATTAAATGTTGGCAAAAAAAAACATGGATCCGCCACTTACAGCTTAAGATGACTGACTCACCATGAGTGCTTATCTCCTTTCTCTCCTAAGATCTCGATAAAGTGACACTAGAGGAATATAAATGTCAGGAAGAAAACCACCTGGAAGCTGGATCTCAGAGAATCAGAACTGATGTCCTATGACCTCTCGTGAACCTCTGAACCTACTAGGTGTCCTAGGTCCTTGAGGCAGTCCTTGCATTCAGCCTCACATTATGGACCATTAGAGTTTCGTGTCTGTTAGAGCTGAGAACAATTATGGTAGCTTCAAAGGTATTCCTCTGGACCGAGTTTGTGTGAAGGGCAGGGGCAGGATTGGAATGACCTCTGGTGATAGGAATATTAAGACCAACATTTCATTTGTTTCCGTGATAAAAAACTGCTACATAAGAAATTTTATTTCGGCGCTAGTGAGTGTTGGATAACCTACCAACACTGAAGTGCACAGCCTTAAGAAGTAGCTATTGATCATTGTCCTATTTTCTTTTGTTTAGATGTTGTCCCTAGGGGTAACACTCTGGGCTCCTTGAAGGAAGAAACTGTGTCTCCATCTTTTTTCTCAGAGCCCAGTTCAGAGTACGGCACAGAGTGGGTGATTTCGTACCTGCCAACTACATTGACTCACTCTCATCTCTGTGGTAGAAGGCATAAGTATTTCCCCCATTTTACAGATGAGAATGCTGGGGCTTGGCAAGGCTAAGAATCTTGTCCTCTTGTCCTAATTTACCTGCCTGGTAAATTAAAGTCTTGTGCTAAATCAAAAGTTTTGTGATTCTAAATCTAATGCCTCTTTACCCCATCTCCTATCAATCAATCTTGTTTTCAAGAAAAAAAAAAAAGATTTTATATATGTAATTTCATAATCATCGTCCTGAGCTTTAAAAGTTAAAGAATGACAGTATTTTCAGCAAGGAAGAGAATTACCTTGCCTGAGGTTTCCAGAGGCATCAGCAAGCATTACAGTGACATCCAGTGGTGAAGTCCCACTATTTAGACAAGGCAAGACCCTGTTAACTTCACTGCCTGTCCAGGCAGCCTGATCTCTCCCCTCTAAGTGTTTATTACAAGTTTGCTCTAAAACTTACCTATATGGGGTCTTTTTAAGAAATTACATTGATCACACACAAGCTATTAAGATTATTCTATTTGACACTGAATCACAGCGACCCCTCCTTGGGTTCCTAGGCGGTATCACTACGGAAGTGGATTGCCCAATCTTCCTTCCAAGGAGTGGCTGGTGGGTCTGAACCACCAGCCTTCTGGTTAGCAGTCAAATGCCTTAGGCACTATGCCACCAGAGTGCCTTCTTCATGAAGAGTGGTGGTAAAAACCATGGAGGCAAAATTCTTGTCTTAATCCAGGCTTCTCAAGTTTTGTTGCATTTTAGAATCCCCAGTGAAACTTTTACAACCCCTTAATACCAAAGATTGCTGGTTCTGACCAGATGGAGTAGCCCATTCTCCTAGTCCTCCCTCTTACAACTAAAGAAACCCTGGACTTAAAGCAGATTAGCATCAGAAAACTCTGATAGGTGGAAAGAAGGCAGCAAATTTCTTGAGACTGGAGGTGAGTTCCCTGGGTTCCTTATTGCTTCCCGTATATTCCTTGGAGATAAGGGGCCCCACAAGCCTTCAACCCAGAACCACCAACAGACAAGAAATGCTCTAAGAAAAAGGCCAATCCTAAAAAGTCACATACTGTATGATTCTATTTACGTAATCCTGACACAATAAAAATAACAGAAATGGAGAGCAGCTTAGTGGTTCCCACCATTAGGGGTCGGGGGAGGAGGGGTAGCTACAGAAGGACAACGTGAGGGATTGTGGTGATGTCTGTGTCTATCAATTTCATGGTTGTGATATTACAGCTTTTTAAGATATTACCATTGGTTTGTTGTTGTTGTTAAGTGCCGTTGAGTCGATTCCGACTCATAGCAACCCCATGCACAGCAGAACGGAACACTGCCCG